ACGTGGCACACGTGATCTCTCGGCTTTCTTTCCATCATCCCGCGCGCCCCGCCCCGCGCGCCTCTCCTCGCCGCGGTCTGTGCGGCTTCGGTAATCTTTGCTTTCTCCACAGCAACTGCAGCCATGCACGGAGATTTGCCAACATACTTGATGTATGCGCGCGGTGTCACATGCTGGAGCTTAATCGCTGTACAAGCAGCTGCTGTGATGCGCGAAGCCAACATTTCCCCAGTGAAGCCGCCGCACACGACAAGATGTTGGATCTGTACGCAGAGAGAAACAGCCGCGTATTGCTTGCAATGTGCCAGACCACGCAGCGTTCAGACACATTTCTCCATCGCGATCAGAGAGGTTCAGTCGACAGGCCTTGACGAGCATTGAGACCTGCCTGCCTGCTGCCTCTTGCCTCATGCATCACGGCCCGACAGACCGAGATTTGCGGGAGTGTGAGGTGGACACAATTAACAGAGCACATGTGTGCAGGGCACGAGGAAGAGAGGTCCATCCATGTTTGTTGTGCACACACACAGCGGCGGCCTCGAGCTTTCTTAAAAGCTTAGTCTGACCAACGTTCGCCTCGCTTCCCCACCATCATCATCCCAAATCCTCGTGCCTCAGTCAGACATCCACTGTTCCTCCGTCCCTCGGCTTCCCACGACACACCCACCTACCCTCACACCTTCTCATAACATGGCGCCTGCTCTAGACTCGTCTGCTTCGCAGCAGTTCAAGGAAAATCTTACTCTTGTGGTGAGTGATCAAGCGACACGAGGCGCAATTCCGTCTGCCTCGGTCGTCCCACTGGCTGGCGCTTAGCGATCGAGCCAGTGCTGATTGTCCGGAAATTGCACTCCGCCCTCTCTTTGTTAGGCCACACACGAGAAGAAGTTGGAGCTGAAGAGGTCCGCTTGCCCCAAGCCCGGCCCAGGTCAAGCGCTTGTGCACGTGCGAGCAACGGGGGTATGCGGGTCAGACGTGCACTTTTGGCAACATGCTGGTCTAGGACCTTGGAAGATTACCGATTGCACAGCTTTGGGTCACGAGTCGGGTGGAGAAGTTGTTGCTGTGGGCGAAGGTGTGACCAACGTGTCGGTGGGCGACAGAGTGGCCATCGAGCCTGGAGTTCCGTGCGGAAAGGCCACTTGCAATTTTTGCTTGACTGGCCAGTACAATCTCTGCCCTACGGTCGACTTCTACAGCGTTCCTCCCAAAGATGGAACGCTGACTCGATACCACGTTCATCCTGCCGGATGGTTGCACAAAGTGCCCAAGAGCATGAAGTGGGCCGAGATTGCTCTGCTCGAACCTCTCAGCGTCTGCCTAAGCGCTACTCTGCGCGCCGAACTAAAGCTGGGTCAACCGGTGCTCATCACTGGAGCCGGTCCGATCGGAGTGGTGCAGCTCTTGTGCGCAAAAGCTTCAGGTTGCTCCCCCATCGTCATCACAGATTTGTCTTCTGAGCGTCTAGACTTTGCCAAGAAGCTCGTACCTTCGGTCAACACGTATCAAGTAGACACCAAAAAGGACGCCAAGACTGCTGCTAGAGAGATCGTGGACGTCTTTACCAACGCTGCCGATATGGGCGTTCAAGTGATGCCGGAAGTGACGATGGAGTGCACAGGTGTAGAGTCTTCCATCCACACTGCAGCCTACGCAACCCAATCAGCAGGTCTGGTCTTCATCGTTGGGGTAGGCAAAGATTTCATTCAGGTTCCCTTTATGGAACTCTCCGTTCGACAAATCACAGTCTCTCATCTGTTCAGATACTCCAACACTTGGCCTAGAGCCATCAGGCTCGTCGCTGGTGGCGTCATCGACCTCTTGCCCATCGTCACAAAGACTTTCCCATTGGAGCAGGCAGACGACGCTGTGAGGCACTCTGCGGACAGGACCAAGTTCTCTGTCAAGACGCTCATTGTGGACGGAGAGGAATAAGGGTGCCAAGCACCGGCGCGTCGACCAATACACTTTCCAAGATCAACGCTTCACTTTCTTCCGCTGTCGTCTCGTCCCAATGTCCATGCTCTGATCACCTTCAAGGTCATGCTGCCGACTCGTGCCGCTTTGTGTGTCCTTCACCTCTATTCACGTGCAATGACGAGTCAAGCCGCGTGTGCAGATGTGCGTACCATTATGAAGTGTTTTCATTGTGCTAAGAGGATGCAAGAGTACCGAAAGCCACATCGTTGCGCTGCTCATCTTGCGAGGGTCTGCTGCGCACTGTGCGCTGGCGATCCATATATCTAAGAGACGGTCGCGTATCACTTTGAACTTCGCTCACTCGACGCGCCTTCTGCTGCAACCAACCCGCTGTTCCTCTTGATGCTGCTTCTCAACTCGCCTGCGCCGCCAGAGAGTCTGCATGAGCCTGTACCATTCCATTCGCATCCTCCGTCGTTCTCTGCACTTCTTTCTGTGCAGTCTGTTCTGCAAAAGTGGAAGCCGCCGTCGGCAAGGTCTGCGCTTGCGCGCCATCCTTCTCTGCGGGCATCGAGCCAGGCCCACTGCCCGAGATGAGAGAGGTGGCGGTGGCAGCGATTGTGCCAGCGGCACCTGCTGCGGCAGCCGCCGCTGCTGTTAGAGCTGACGGAGCACCGTCGTTCGAACCGTCTGCTGCTGCTGCCCGATCGCTCGATTCGAGGGCCGCATGACCATCGCTGGCCGAGTTGGTTGTCAGTTGAGGAGTGGTCGGGCTCGTGGGACCACTGGTCGCAGTGGAGGCTGCATTCGATGACGATGACCCGCTCGCATTTGGGACCGCCAATCCAGCACCAGCGCCAATAGAGGTCGAAAGTGGGATCGACAACTGCGTTGCAATCGTGCGTTGTGACGGGGTTCTTTGCATGCTGCGAGCACCGGCG